AAACTTTGTAGAAATTTTGTAGGTTGTACATTTTTTTTGCAATATTTTGCTTGAATTTAATTGTATTATCTTTCCATTTCTAAATATGTTCGGTGACTAAAATATTATTTTCATAAATATATATTTTTAGTAAATCTGTTTTATTTAAATGCACCAAAATACATTGCCTATATTCACAGAGAAATGGATACAAAAATTAATTTTCAAAATGGGGTTTACTCAATTGCATACAGTGTACTGAGCACTGCATACAGTATATTCCACACCAGTCATGCTAGAACCGGGTCTTGCGTTTACCACTCAATGTAGAATAAAAGATCATCCATCCAAAAGGATCTTATTAATTCTTACGCTCAAATATTTGAGCGATCATTCTCCAAGTTTTTTTTCTATCCCTCAAAAAAAATGTATAGCCTTGCCATATGCTCTTGAAATTAGCAAGTCAGACTATTAGTCAGGAAATAAGTAGCGCTATTAAGGGGGGGAAATTAAAAAATGACATCTTACAAAAATGAAAGTTGCATGATCCCTTGATGCCAACCATTTCCCCCCACATTCCAAGACCAAAATCTCTCCATTCCTCATTTTAATGTCATACATTTTGACGACATCTCTGAAACATTCATCAGCTGAGAGCCTCATTATGCCATCTGGGCCTGAGATTGGCACAGATCTTTTAAAATGAAAGCAAATGCCACGATATTCACACACACACAAACCAAAAAACATTACCTTGGGATCTATTCTTGGCCTATACCTAGTCAATTACCAACTAATGAGCTGACCTCGGCTGACATTCCCTCCCAAACTGCTAAAGAAAAAATTGCAATGCTTCCGAAAAAGCAAGTATGTTAGAAACCGTGGATATTTATTAAATGTCACTCTGAACATTAAACACATTTTAATGATCAACAACAAAAAAAATAAATCAAATCAAATCAAATAAATTACCGCTAATACAAGACCCAAAAAAACAAAGCTGGATTATGAGTCCATTGTCAATCCAAATAAATGCGGCAGAACATTTTAATTGATCTTGCGTTCGCTGGTCAAAAATGATGGGTTTGGGCGATGTCAGAGAGGGCAGGATTTGAAAAGAAAGGAAAAAAGTCCCTCTTGTCGTCCTGGGGTGTTGTTATGCTGCAAGACATGCTCAATTTCACGGTTAAATTATTTACATGGATGACTGGCAAGCGCTGTCAGCAGACAGGTGTAGTTTGAGAGGCCATCGGCAGGGGTTCCTGAGTGCCTACATGTTCATAAAGAGCAACCAGGGCCACGAACCGACAAACTGTCCATCCCCTGAAAGTCACAGCTATTTTGTTCATTTCCTATCGCAGTCCATATTTCAAGTTTATCAGTCCTACACTGAAAAAAGAAAAGCAAATCCTTCTTCAGCAAGATACACATGGCAGGATGAGGTGCGGCGATGTTTTTTAGTGGTTGTTTCTCTTCATTTTGAATGTTCATGCTAGCACTTTAGCATTGAAAGCCCTCCTGTGGTTTACAGAGAATCCCAATCTATATTGTGGCTTCATAAACAATTTCACCTCATAAAAACAACCTGTGGTTTTCTTTGTTGAGGGAGAATGAGTCACAAATTTGATCAAAAGGCATCAGCTTATTTTTTTTCTTTCCTTTTTTTTTGGGGTGGGGGGGGTGGCTATGACAGCTGTTTTCTCTGTTGTAGATTTGAGTTTGACATTGGTGAATTGGTTATTCAGCAGGGGTCAGCTGTTTATTTAAGCAATTTGCTTAAGATGCTTCATATTCTAAAAACAGTGATTAGTTATGCTTCCCTGCAGGCACAGGACATCATATTGACATTGTACCTCAACATAATGGGGACGTAGAAATTTGCTTGGAAGTGAAAATCGGGTTGATGTCAGAACCCAATGTCAGGCCGACGTCAATGTCCAATGTCCAACCTAAAATCAACCAAATATCAACGTCTAATCATGTTACACCTTGATGTTGTGTGGACGCTATGGTTATGACATCTATTAGACGTTGGAATTTGGTCACTTTCCAACACAACCTAAAATCAACCAAATATCAACTTACAGTGATTTGACGTTGTTATTGTATGTAAAAATACATTTGTCCTTATACGTTGGCTAAACATTAAACTTCGGTCACCTGATGTCATGACCTAAATCTAACCTAATACTAACGTCTTATGATGTTGGGTGCCTGCTGGGTTCATTCATTCACTCACTATCCTTTGGCTTAGTCCCTGATTTATCAGGGGTCACCACAGCTGAATAAACCACCAACTACTCTGGCATAAGTTTTATGAAGCGGATGCTCTTCCTGCTGCAACCCAGTACTGGGAAACACCTATACACTCTCTCATTCACCCACAAATACACTCTGGCTAATTTAGTATGCTTTGATTCATAAAACTATTTCTTTGAATTCCTTCAAATATACACAGACTATAAAAGTGATTGTATAATGTTTGGAAACAGATGTGAGTGTCGTGTTGTGGTTTAAAGTGCAGACAAGGATAATGTACAATCACAATAAACATAAATAAAGATATAAATATGAAATCATGATACTTATTTTCTCATTCTGGACATGGATTTCGCAGGGAAATACAAACAAAACACTAGAATCAAAATTATGCAATCGAAACTAAGACATTAAAACACATTTAAATGGATTACAAGTTGACTGTTTGAAAAGAAAACACACACTCATTGTCAATCCCATAAATCAAAAAAAAAGAAAAGAAAAAAAGAGAAAGTTAGAATGCATAGATAAAGCAAATTTTTAGGACTACTATTCAATTTTTTAGGAATAGTTTACCTCAAAATTCGTGACACTCAATCACCTTTTTAAGAAACTTTTAAGAAACTGTTCAATAAATATAAAAAGTTACATTTTATTACAATATTGTTATTTTTCTCTATCAATTAAAATGGAATCAAATGAAGTCGAAAGCTTTACACGTCTCCGAGAGCAAACAATATGACATTTTTTCATAAAGAAAAAAGTGAACCCAAAATATTTGTACTGCCCCCTGGTGGCTGGCTGCAGTACAAGTCAAAAACTGCACCTTCATTCATTCATTTTCCTTCAACTTAGTCTCTTTTTCAGAGGTAGCCACAGCGGAATAAACTGACAACTATTCCAGTATATGTTTTATGCAGTGGAAGCCCTTCCAGCTGCAACCCAGTACTGGGAAACACACATGCACACTCATACACTACGGCCATTTTAATTTATTTAATTCACCTGTAGTGCGTGTGTTTGGACTGTGGTGGAAACCAGAGCACCCGAGGGAAACCATGGGGAGAACATGCAAACTCCACACAGAAACGAGTGATCTTCTTGCTGAGACGACAGTGCTAACCACTGAGCCACTGTGCCGCCTGAGTCACTGAGTCACTGGGTGTGGCTTCATGATTACATGCTTGTGATTGGCTATTTCACACCATGGCTCCAGGTCATGTTCACAACAAAGCAGACTCTGGCTCCAGGTGAACATCATTAGTGCAAGATGGCATTTTGTTTGGCTTAATTTATTTTGGCTTAATTTTTTAACAGTGGAAGGAAGTCCATTTGTGACCTTAAAACAAATAAACACCAACTAAGATGTAGTAGAAATATTTGGCTTTTAAGTCCGAAATATATTTTAAATCTTGACTAATGCCGAGTTGAGACTGCATGATTTTAGCCCCAATTTTAACTCACCGACAGACAAATCAGTGCTCGTTCACATAAATAACAATCACACAGTGTGTCAATAGAGAATTGCCTATAAGTCGCCAACAACTATCAGATATTTGGCATGCTACATATCTGGAGTCGTGGCCGATTCAAATCATGTGGTGTGAAATGTGTTTGATTGAAAATAACACCGGCGATTATCTACAGCCAATAAGAGAGCAGCATCCACTAGTATGGGTATCTTCAGGCCAGCGAGAGATTGGGGGATAAGTTATAAGCGCTTTTTTTTAGTTTATTTGGACCCAGGAAATGTGTAAAAACTTGGCAGGAGCACCCGTGTCTGTTTGCCGTGTCATCTGAGCAACCAGGTCAAAAAAGAAAAAAAGTTTTAAAGAAATTGCTAATTCCCTTTAAAAGTCAGGTGAGCAAAAAAAGTACATTTTCTACCCCACTTCTTTCTCATTATCTAGTTCAGGGGTGGCCAACTCTGTTCCTGGAGAGCCACCTTCCTGTAGATTTCAGTTGTTACCCATATCAAACACACCTGAACCGATTAACTAGGACCTGAACACTACAGGATAATTACAGGCAGGTGTGTTTGATATGGGTTGCAACTGAAATCTGCAGGAAGGTGGCTCTCCAGGAACAGGGTTGGCCACCCCTGATCTAGTTAATAACAAAAGATATAGTATGTGACCTCGTGTTGTTTCCATGTCACTTCTTGCGTGTGTTTGTGGACCGAGACCACATTGTCTGCTATTCGTCCTATTGTAAAATGAAATCATGCAGTGTGAAACCTCCTGTCACCAATCCATCTTGCAGTATAAACACAGCAGCGACAGAATGCTACCCCAGATAGTCATGCAGTGTGAAAACATCTCTGATGTGACTACTTTGAAAATCATGCAGTCTGAACAGATTTACAGATTCTGAAAAGTTAAGTCATAATTTACTCAACTTTCACCTGTCACAAACCTGTTTGAGTTTCTTTTGTCTGTTGAACCCAAAATAAGATATTTAGAAAAATGTTGGAAACTTGTAACCATTGACTTCCATAATATTTGTTGTTACATCTACGGAGGTCAATAGTTGCTAATATTTTACAAAATATCTTCTTTTGTGTCCAATAGCAAAAAGGAAACTCAAAGGAATGAAAACTTAATTCCTGAGTTAAAATAATTAATTAAAAAATTAATGAGTTAAATTCATTTTTGTGTGAACTATCCCTTCAAACCAATTTAGTCACAAACCTATGCTTCTGTGCAAGACATAAGGTGAAATTTTACTTTCATTCACCAAGTGAAAACATATCCATTAACATCTTTTCTATAAAATTTTCAGGTAAACTATCCCTTTTATTAAAAAATATCAAGAACGTCACAATCGATCTAAAACAAAGGAAATTAAATGGATACACAATAACATACAGGCAAACCAATGACAATCTGACAGTCAAAAGAGAAAAGTCAGTCTGTTCAGAAGTTCAACCCAAGTTCAATTCCCAGATCTTCTCCAAAGATTAAGCCTTAAGCTCAGTCAATCCATCTCATTGTGATTTCAGGTGAACCTAGCCTATACCGTGCATAAGATAAAATCCAACACTTCCTGCAACCCCACAGGGTTATTGTGTTTTCTGTGCTTTTCCATTGATAAACCTTCCTTCGACTGACCTGTCAGAGTGAAAAATGTGCCGGTATTGGCCCATCACTCTGAAAAGCCACCACCGTGACACATATTCTCTTTGAGCATCTCTGGTGGTCAATAACGTATTTATTCGACACACGGGGAAAACCTAGTTACCTCCCAGATATTACAGCAGTGACCGGACACACCAATAGCAACCCTGTCACGTTTAACTACGAGTTATTGATTAATCACTGAACCAGAAATAACAGAAGACAAAGCTGCCTCTCCGCCAGATGTCCGAGACCAGTTAAAAGTCTTTATTTTTATGAAAAGCTACACGTTCTTGCTAAATTTAACAGCTACAGATTTTTTTGTGTCATTTTTATGTTTTTTTTTAAAGACAACAACTATTTTTTGTTCTCAGTAGCACATTTTTTGACATTACCTGCAATAATATTCAGAGGTGTGTTAGGAGAAAAAACAGCGGCGTCAGCACGAACACTACGAGATGATAGGAAAACAGGGATCGAAAACAGAAATATGACAAAGAAAGAAGAGTCGTTGCTGGAAAGTTTCTGCATTGAGTGTCTCTAACACCTACAGCCATCTTTGAGTTCTTCCTCTCGGGTTTTCTAGTTCTCGCTCATTTATTCTCCTCCTTGGTCGGTCTGATCTTCATCTCGGTGAACTTCAGCGAGTATTGCCAACCCGTCCAGGACGACCACTCGATGCCGTCGGCGTATGAAGTGTGCTGGCCGCGCAGGTACTGTCCATTCAGGTTGGACGTGTGGCAGTTTCGGTACCACCAGGCGCCATGGTAGAAGGACGCGCAGTTATTCTCCGAGTGGTCGTTGTCCTTGTCCTTGGTGGTAAATTTCATACCGTTGTGTTTGAGCAGCGAGTCGCCTGCAGCGGCAGATCAATGAGTGATGGAAAGAAAGGTTGAGAAAGACAAATAGAAAGAGAGAGAGAGAGTGGGATGGTGAGGAAAAGAGACAGAAACAAAAGAACAAGTGAGTCACTCGACCGCAATGTCTTTGTTTATGCATATCATGGAAAGTTTAGAGTGCTGCAGTAAAACAGTTTTGTTTTAAAAACTAGTGAGCTGACATGATTTCTACAGCCTCCATAAGTAGTTATCTTGTAAGACATCATTTTAAACTTTAATATGCACTCAAGACATGATGTTCCTGATTGTTCAGACTATTTATTTAAAATGAGCTGAATCAACACAATACTTGAGTTTTTAGGGGGACAACTTAATTGTTTTATGTTTACATGGTTTCCGCTACATTCATTTTTCACTCAATTATTCCACACCAAAATTAATTTCCGCCACTCATTGGCATGTACTGTATGCCTACTTTAGGCCATTCGGACCTGATGAGCAGCCGCGTCATCAAGAGCGCAGCAACTCATATGCAGCTCTGAGATCATCAAAAAGCTCTGAGATCATTAACTAGCACACCTCTGATAAGTCAAACATTTTCTAGTGATACAGCAGTGATAATTTCCTCCCTTCATTATTTTAAGCTTATATTTCACTTACTATGTATGTGAGACTTTTATTTTGAAAATGCAAGCCCCAAATTGTTTAGTGTGCGTTACTGGGCAATGACGGCACGAGACATGTTGCAAAATTGCTTCAAAGCGCAAAATGCAGGATTTAAAGATTATACTTTAATTTATCTCCACTCTGAAGAGGAACAAGGTATATTTAGTTGCATGTTTGTTTATTTATCGTGTTTATTGTAAAGTTTGATGCATGTGTTTCAACAAACATATGCAGACTGCTGAATCAAGTCAAATTGCTCAACTCAACTGTCATCTGTTCATGCAGATGTTGATACTAAGTCTTGGCTATTTTCTTTGACAATATAGCTTCAAAATAAAAAATGGTGAGCAAAATAGGTTAATGTTAGTGGTGTAACAGGTCACAAAACTCACAGTTTGGATCACACTATGATTTTTAAATCATAGATCAGACCATTTTTCGGATTCGCAAAAAAGGGAGGACAAAAATGTCATTTGCTTTCCATTTATATTAAAATATTACTGCAAAACTATTGGTTTTAACAAACAGAACCTTGTAATTTTAGTAAAAAAAAAATGAAAAAAGAACCACCTGAAAAAGAAGAAAATGTTCAATATGAAAAATTATTTTTGCTACTGCTAAATAATGATAAATATAGAAACATTTTGTACAACATTTCTTATTTATTTTCAATTAATGATTCAACAATTCACACATAAAACTTCATGTTTGATTATAAGTGTATCATTTCTGAATTCCTATTCAGTGATATCATTTTGATGGTTGTTTGTCGCCACCCATTGGTTAAACAATGTAATTGCAACAACATTCACCAGTGTTAAGTTCCATTAAAATGTGATTTTAATCTTTAGCATAAACATCAGTGTTTATATCTGAACTATAAACTGTTCTCCTAGTACTTCTGTTATTTAATTGTTTTTAAAAAACTGAAAAAGTGTAAAAACTGAATCTCTCTCGATCAAACGCAGATTTAAATGCAGCGCTTCGAAGGATTAAGAAACATATGCAAATCATTATCATTTATCATTCATGTTGCGCAGGTTTCAATTTGAGATCACAATCTTTTAATGTTTATTTGTGTAGCTTTACACTGAATGCAATAATGCAGGCTAAACTAATAGTGACAGAAATAATTGATACCCTAAGAAAGCATTCAGGTAGGTCCCACTACAACTTTTTTCGTCATTGTACAGGAAAAATGCTTTCATACATGTGATTTGAATCACGCGGGTGGCGATCTCTCTGCAATTGTTAGAAATGCTGGATTAACCTACAAGTTCATAAAAGTTATTAATCCGCGGGTCACGTGCGTTCCGAACTGTGGGTTGGGATCCGTACCACATATAGTCAATGATGGACCTTTTGATTCTAAGAGTATTTTATAGAAAAATAAATGAGCTTATTAAATTGTTTCTGGAGATTTTTTTGGACTTACTGAAGCCATAAACCTACTATGTAGACATCAGAGAACAATTTAAATTATTAAACCAATGCAGTATATGGCATCTTTAACTTGCCTAGTTAACCAAATTAACCAACTTAAGCTTTTATATCGCACCTTAAGCTGAATATTATACAATCTTAAACTAGATTAAACTAGATAGTAAAATATTATACACTGTCATCATTAGTTATTAAACTATTGTGTTTAAAAATGTCTTGGAAAATTCCTTTGTATATTAACTAGGAACTTATATTGAAAATAAAGTCATATTTTCAGGAGGGCTAAAAATGTATTAGATAGAAACAAAAATCACAGCAGACCCAAATAAATTTGGTTGTGCAAAACCTTTTAAACATAACACAATGTATAGCGTAGCCTGCATTTATGCATTTAAACTTAAATTTTATAGGCCTCAGTTCATAAAATCCAATTGCTTAGAATAGTGACACTGAAGCACTTGCAGGCTCATATATCGAGCAGTAAAACATCAATTGAAAACAGATTTCGACAATTATCTTGCAATGTTTACATCCACATTTTGAGTTTGCTGGCTCTGCTAGTGATGTGAAAAGAGAGACAGAAACCACAGAGAGCAGTGCTTTAACGTGTTGCCGTTAATGTGGCCTTATTAAGCTCAGTGATGTATGTCTCGGGGACGTAATGTTGCAGTGTGCAGCTAGGCTAATCTAATCCCGGTTTCCAGCCTCCATACAGGCCGTCTCCGACAAGATCAGCCTTTTATTGCCAGCCTTGCAGTAAAACCCTTCTCTCGTCCTCTTCCTCCGCCTCTAATTCCACTCCAATCCAACATGTATCGCGATAGCCGTTTTATTGGGACAAAGGAGATCCAATTGATGCCGTTATGTCATACTGTAAAGTGCGTTACACATCATAAACTTGTTTCTGGTGCCTCATGGATTCATCATTGCGGTTTAGAAGATAATGAATCAGCGGATTGATGGAGGTATAAAATGACAGCACCTGGACGGTGAAAAAAGAGCCAGTCAACAGACGTGGAGAAAAACGATACAGGAGCTGGCGTTAGCAGGTCTAATTCTGTCATCATTTACTCAACCTTGTGCAGTTCCTTTTTTCTGTTGAACGCAAAGATTTTTTGAAGATGTCTGATAACTAAACACTTTGAGTTTCTGTTGACTTCCATTGTATTACTTGTCCATATAAAGGAAGCCAATTATATCTTTTTGGTTAGCAATTTTCTTCAAATCGCTGTCTTTCTAAATCGGTGTGATTTTCTTTTCTCTGTTGAACACACATAAAGAGGATTTGAAGTTTTGGTGTGCTTTGACTTCCATTACATATTTCTTTCTTTACAATGGAAGTGGAATGGATTGACTTTCATTTTAAGGAAAGAAATATATAATGGCAGTCAATGGAAACCAAAATGGTTTGGTTACCAACACTCTTCACAATATCTTCTTTCATAAAAAATGTTTGTAAGCAAACAGTTTTGGTTGCCAGTGGCTTCCATTATATGTTTTCTTTCTACATAATTAAGTCAGTGGAAACCTAAATGGTTTAGGTACCAACACTCTTCACAATGTCTTCCTTCCAAACCGTAATGACTTTCTTTCTTCTGTGGTACACAAAAAGAAAGAATTCTTTTGATTTCCTGTTTTTATACACGAGTCAGTAAGAACTAAAATGCTTTTGTTACTAACATATAGTGATGTCCCAATCAGGTTTTTTCACCCTTGAGTGTGAGTCATTTGATTTTGAATACATACCAATACCAAAACTCGATCCGGGTTTTGGTATAATACATATAAAACGAATCGAAGAAACAGATCCAGAGTGTTTGTTATTTTATATTTAATTCACCTCATTGTAACATTTAACAACTCTGTTAAAAAACAGAGCACTTCAGTGAGGTAGCTTGAACAATCAAATAATAAATAAAACAAATCCCTCACATTAGTGCAACAGCAAATATTTAAAAAAATCTAATATAAAAACAAATAGCGCCTCAACTTAAAATACCCGACAGGCAATCCCAAATTTACATATCTCACAGTTTGCTCTGGCAATGTTGTCATCATCAATTTTATAATACCTCCAGACAGCAGACATACGCTGCTTTTTAGCTTTAAGCTGCTTCCATGTTCTACTTTGCCGGCATTTAACCAATAGCGTCTCTGCAACAAACAGACGTCGTGCCGCATGCGTTGCTGTTTTTGTGTGAATTCAAGAATGCAATCTCACGACAATTCGTAACTTTTTGATTTAGTGGCTAATTCGTATAAATTCGTACAATCTAATTCATACAATTTAGTAGAATTTGCTCATCACCCAATCACGGTTGGGGTTAGGGGTGGGGTTGGGTGCCACGCCTCCTTTTTAAAATCTGCATTTTTGTACGACTGAACTCGTATGAATTAGCCACTAAACTGACTAAACATAAAATTCTCTTTTTCTCAAAAAATTCTCTTTAGTCTAATCTCTAATATGTTTACAAAAGACCTGATTTTTTCACTTTAACATTATAAGGCTGAACATAACATGAAATAGCATCCATTTACAGAGATATCTTCTTACACTGTTACAGTCTACATTATTTCTCTGTTGCAATCAGGAGGAATCAGACGGATCCACAATGCAGTTAAGCATTGCCTAACATTTAAAGTGAATGGGAAGAGTTGACACTGATGCCCTTTGCGAATAGGACGTTATTCATCAGGGATCAAATGAAACGCCGCCTCTTCTATATGTTTTACACAGCAGATGCCCTTCCAGCCACAACCCAGTACTGGGAAATACCCATTATCTTATTCACACTGATACACTACGGCCAATTTTGTAATACCATTCATTTATAGCGCATGTCTTTGGACTGTGGGGTAAACTGGAGAATCCAGAGGAAAACCCACATTAACATGATGAGAGCATGCC